TTTAAATAATCTCTAGACAATATTGCTTTTCCTTGAACATCAACCACATGGTCATGCCTCCCTTTTCACCAGTGATCCAGACCCCCTGCCCACCTGGCAGGCAAAACCACCTCTCCAACTTCCAGCTGTCTTCATTGCAAACTTTGATGGGGATACAAATCCCTCACGTTGTAAACCAGCCACCTGCAGCTTAGCACTATTCCATATTCTAGCAATAGAGTTTTATCATAGAGTGGCAGGACATAGCTGTCAGCATATACAGTTACAGTTTGTCTTCCCATGAAACTTAAGCCAAAAGCAACATATGTGAATCTCTGTAGAGCAGTGAATGTCCTTCTGTTTTCTTACTTGGGCATGACCTGGGCAGTTTGTGAAGGTTCATCATTTGTTTTAACCTGGTAAAACCCTGAAGACATAGGTAACATGGATTAATAAAACTTTTTAGCAGATGTGTTATAAAACATACTTAATGTTAAAACACACCTGTAGACTCTGACCCACGAACATCTCTGACTCACTGATTAAAAGGGCAAGTCCACATTTTCATGGTCTGCATGTAGACAGATGGACAGTTTGAATGTTAGCTTTCACTGTGGATCTATTTCCAGCAAGGTTATTTTCAAGGAATTACATGGTTCCTTTGATCATAGGTGAAGAAACTAATATGCCCTTCTTTCATGTATCCTCCTATATGAATCAGTGAGGTGATTATTCAGGATGAGAGGTCTGTAGAAAGTTTTTTCTCAAGTGTAGGATTTTTTTTAATTCAAAGCATATGTCCATAAATCATCAGGATCTCCCAAGAGTGAATAGAGTGCTCTCTATTTAGAGCCTGCCCTTCTGGTCACACAGTGAAGAGCTCACTGAGAGGCTCCAAAAGCTGGTACCACCATCCAATGCCAACAAGAGCCAGTCTGGGCTGATCCCCATCTCTAGTGATTATCCTCTGCTTGTGCTTGTGATTGGTAAGATGTATCCTCCCCTCCTTGCAGTCTTTTGATTCTGCTTATGTACCTGCTTTTCACATGTGTTTTCACATGTGGCTCATGTGCAGCTCAAACTTCCCCAATTTACATTCTGATTGCTTCTTTCACAGGTACACAGGGACATGGACTCACACCCCCCCCACTGATCTACCTACCTATTGCTGTCTTCCATCATGGACTCAGTTCAATCCTACTCTCATCATAGAAATCACCATAGTATATTTAAACAAATTGAAAGCATCAGATATGCTTCATGTTGAACAAATGCACAATTGCAACCATCCTAGAAGACTTTAAACATATCTATTCATTATATGTATTTTATGTAGTTGTCATACCAAACACATTTCAGTGTCATACAAATGCATTCATGCCTCTGTTACAAGATATATAATTTGATAGAATCAATTGTGTTTAATTGTTTTGGATCACCTACCTATGTTCTTACTGAATTTTAGTGTTTGTTTGCTTGCTTTCCATCTGAGGATTTTTATCAGCTTCTGAGAGATTTGTGTTAAATCTTGAACACTATGACTGAATTTGTCTGTTTCTGCTCCTTTTCAGTATTTGTGTATTGGAGCCAAAGACTCAGACTTTACATGGGTATCCATCATTTCCCAGTTAATATAACTACTGGTGCTTTATGGATTAGGTCCTATTACTTCATGCTATATTCATTGTTATGCTTCATCCTTTCCTCTCTCCCTTTCTCTAACAAACAAAAACACTTTTATTGTGACTTACAGTTAGTAAAACAACCACAATACTAAACTAAAATTTGTGAATGGGTTTTAAATGATTTGTTGCTAAAAATAAACATGCAGATGCTCAAAAAACATTCAAAACTTTTAAATTATAATTTAACCCAAACTTCTGTAATAGCCACCACAAGAAATACCATAAAATTCCACAATTCTGATAACATATTAGGAAACAACAGATGTGAGGATTAAAATTTGGGAAATTAAGTACATGAAACTAAAGATCTGTATTTTAAAATAAATTCTCAGTACCAAAAAACAACAAAAAAAATTAAAATAAGAGTTTCAGGACAAGAGTTGCTAAGAAACCACTAGCACTGAAGGATTTCCTTGCAAATATCTTATTTTAAACTTACAGGACAGACAGATGGGTGGGCAGAATATGCAGTTTCATAACAGTGGTGACTTGAGCAGAAGGGGGAATGTGTTTTTCTAATCCACAGTGTCAGTTATGTGGATCTTTGCAGTTGCCAGTAACTATTTCAGTGTTCTTCCTGTTATGTTCATTTTAAAATTTAAACACGTTACAGCAAGCTTGAAGCTGACAAAAGCAAATTAGAAAAATGCTAAACTTGGTCTTCCTTATTGGTCAGGATGTATCTCATTCATCTAGAAGAAACCACTTCCTCATCCTCAGGTCCAAGAGGATATGGTATTGGCCTATTTTAACACTTTCCCGTTCAGATGGAAGTTGTACTAACATATAGTCTATGACTTTAGGAACCAGCACAAAGTAAATTCCTAAAAATCAACAATTCACTTAGAAAACAAAGTAGGAAGGAGTATTCTGAGAATTACCTGGGATGAGTCATCATAATCTTACTGTTAGTGTGAGAATTCATTCATAAAATTGGCTGAATAATAATTCCAGAGCCTCTTTCAAAAATTATGTTTCAATTTCAAATTAAAGAACTTAAACAATTTTCAAAAAACACAATATAATTGATAAATGACAGGTCTTTCCCAGTTCACATTTGTTGCATCAGTTTTTGTATTAAACAATAGGCCTGATGATTGTTTGGTACACCTTATGCTTTGGAGCCTAACCCTTCCGAAGGGCTCACTGACCAACTGGTCCCTTCGTGACTGGATTAGCTGTCTGCAGGGCACCCTTAGCCAACAACTAAAGCCAGTAGCAGGTGTAAGTACCCCAATTTCAAACACAGGATGACAGTGCACTGACCCAACATTGCAATATACTAAGGCAGGATTGCTGTGTCATTGGCTATGGGTATGCTCTTGTGCACAACTCTGGCAGATTTTAAGTACACTGGTTTAGTGAGCCTGCTCTGAGCTGAGGAAGGAGATAATTGTGCTGCAATTCTAACTGATTAAGGCATTTGCTTTTTCCAAGGCAAATAATGGAGAAGTCAGAACAGAATTTCTGGAACCATGTTTCCAGGGATATCATAAAATCAATGTACTAGTCAATTAAATGAGTTAGCTTACAATATGGACATCAATATAATTGAAATTGTCAAAAACGTTTCTAACAAGGATGGACTGATTCTTAGAGTTCCACATTGGAGTCAACCTTACAATGTCTTTACAGGAAGCCCAAAAGGAACAGCATAAAAATAAGTGTTTCTGTGTCCCCTTTAGTTTAAGTTCTGAAGCAGCAAGAGTCATAGGTGTCATGAATCCACCTGGAAACAACTTTTTGCTAGGACATCAGCCACTTTTGCAGGAAGTGGAGGCAGTAGGGCCTGGCATGTGCATCCTGAGGACAGCATTGCCAGCAGCCTTCAGTTGTGACCTTTCTCTTCTTTTGCCAGGCCGGCTTTTTGGCAAATTTCTGCTGAGGCACAGTTGTATCCATGAGGCTGCAGGGCACTAGCACTAGCACTACTGGACCTCCTGCACCTGAGACTGAGGGGAAAATTGGCGTTACATCCTCTGCTGTTTAAAGGTCACCCAGGCCAGCTTCACACATCTACACCACAGAGTGGTGCCTTATGTGCCTCTACTCAGCTCTGCTGGTGTAACAGCCTCCTCCCAGCCCAGGAGGGCTACTCCTCCTGGGGAGCCTCATGTCCTTTTCTCTAGGCTGGGTGCTGCTTTCAGACACTGCCATGCAAACAGAGCCTGGGTAACAAAAGCTGTGTCATCATGTCCCTCCCTTTCCCTCTTCCTTACCCTCCACTACCCAAATTGCAGTCTACATATATCAGTCTGTGCTTAAGCTGCCCTCTGTCATCTTGACCACACAAGGGTTAATCAAAACTAAAACTTTCAGCAGGGAGAGGGAAAGTCCAATTCTGAGTCAGTGGAAAATATGTACTGGAAAGACCTTCAGTTATATCACCACAGGCAGCAGGAAATTGGGGAGGGCAGTGCCTGTGGAAGGGGCAGGAAGTGGGTGGGCCAGGCAGCCAGAGAAACCCTCCTGGGTTTCAATAGGACAAACATGGACTCAGGAAAAGCACCCAGGGAAGCTATCAAGGGCCCGGGGATTGGAGCTGGCTCAGGAGTCACCTCCAAAAACCACATTCAGCCTCACCCCAGGGAGGCAATGCAAGCCAGCAGAGGAGGCTCTGATGGGAAGGGTGGACTTCAGAGATTTCTGGGGTGTCAAAAGGGAATGGGAGGTGATCCTAGACAGGAACAGTGGGGTCCTGTCACTGCTGGCCTGGGCTGGGGAGACACTTGTAAGACCTAAAGTCTCACTTCCACTCCATGGAGCGTGAACAGCCGTAAAGGCCACCACGATGCTGGGTGCTAAAACCCAGCAAGGCTCCAGGAGCTCAACAGAGGAAAGAGAAACCCAGGAGGGAACACAGATGGTAAACAGATCTTTATTAGTCTGGCCAGAAGACACTCCCTGAGCCAGGTAGTTCAGAGAGGCAACTGCTCAGGGGCTGAGATCTTTTTTATAGGGTTTTTCTAAACAAAAATGTTCAAACATAGGTCAAGGCATTCACAGAACTACCAGAGGACCAAACACACTGCTTATCTTATGCAGGAAATGTTCTATGGTCACCTTTTGTCTTACCATTTGCCCCTGGGTGGGAAGTTAGCCAAGTTAGCAATTAGCATATGAAGAATCACAGTCTCTGGCCTATTAGCATGGAGTCACTCGAGTTTATTCGAGTCTTACACACTAGGCCTGGAAAAGTCCCCCCGAGAGCCCCACCCCCAACAGGGAGTGGTCAGCTGACCCAAATCCTGGACCCGAGAGCCCCACCCCCAACAGGGAGTGGTCAGCTGACCCAAATCCTGGACCGGAAGCCCCCCTGACCCTTTAACCTCCCTGCCTCCCTGCCCTAGAGAAATTTGATCCTAGGAGTTAGTTCCACCCACTCAGTATCCTGCCAATTTCTAACTTGTCTGAGCAGGAAAAAGAAACTTAAGAGAAACCAAAACTGCAGAGGAGACCTGGTCAGAGAAGAGCCTAGTATCCAGACCAAGGCCTGTTCTGCATCAGCACCATGAGCCACACAACCCAGACCTTCTTCACCCACACCAATGTTGGCCTCCCCCCAAACTATGAAAAGATGCAGGAAGAGCACGAGGTGGCTGTGCTGGGGGGTACCCACAGCCCTGTTCCGGCAAACTCCACAGTGATCAACATCCGCGGTGACACCGTTGTACCTGACCATGTGGTCTGGTCCCTCTTCAACACGATCTTCATGAACACGTGCTGCCTGGGCTTCATAGCCTTCGCCTACTCCATAAAGGTAGGTGTCCTGAGGGCGATGCTCTGGGAAGGAGCTGTGAGCCTCAGTTCCAGCTTCCTGGACAGCACCTGGCTGGGTTGTGTGTGTGTGTGTGTGTGTGTGTGCGTGTGCATGCGCAAGACCTGTGAATGCCCTGGGCTGTGTATGCTGTGCCTGACCCCCTGTGTGCATGTGGCATGTGTTGAGGAATCTCCCAGGCCAGGCATGGGGTGAGATGCCAGGACATCCTGGGGCCACACTTGGTCCCCACCCGCCCAGAGGAATTCTCCCCACTGTGCACACCAGCTCCAGGATGTCTGGGGGCTGGAAAAGGACCCACGGGGCACTTTGCCCCTGGTGGTAAGTGGCCAGCATCTGGGCTTCCTACACAGTCTGTGTAAGAGGCTGGTGCCCCCAGCCTGAGTGAGGGCAGGGGGACCCTGGCTGAGCAGGGAGGCCCAGGGCTCCCCCTGTTGGCAGCCTGGCTCTCCCCTCACCCAGTGCAGGGCCCTCACTCTGGTCTCCTCCAGTCCAGAGACAGGAAGATGGTGGGCGATGTGATTGGAGCCCAGAGCTACGCCTCCACGGCCAAGTGCCTGAACATCTGCGCCCTGGTCTTAAGCATCGCTTTGACCGTCAGCCTCATTGCTGTGTTTACCTTCACCTCGGTGCACTTGTTCCAGATGACGCATGATCCTCCGGGCCACTAGTCCTGAAGTTTCCTTCCCTCCACAGCCAGGTCCGACCCTGGACTGGGCCCTGCCCTGTACCCCACACCCTCAGCAGCTGTCCACAATTGGGAGAAATAAAGTGTGTGTTTCCACAGTGCTGTTCTGTGTCCTAGGGATGGGACATTGCTCACTCTTCTTGTCTTGGTCCTGAGATGAGCTCACCCTTGGTGCAGTGTCTCTGAGAGGAGCACAGCAGGACCTCAGAGAGGAGGTCTTTGAGTCCTGCTATGGGGTGCAGTCCACCAGGGCCCTATTAGGTTCTCTTTTATGTTTTCCCAACCTCAGGACACACTGTGGGAAGCATTGCCTCACTCCAGGCCAACCCTTTCCACGCCAATGGGAATGTGTGCAGTTCTGGCCTCAAAGATCTGCTGTGCTTTTGTATCCTTGGGGCAAGTCCAGGAGCCCCGATCTGTGCCTTCCTGGCCCATCAAGCTCTGCCTCCATCCTGGCTACTGCCTCCTCTGTTTTCATAACATTGTCCACTCTCTGTGGGTTTGGCCAGTGTGCTAGCCACTGCCTGAGGGAAATCAGAAGGCAGAGATTAGGCCAGGTTAGTGTCCCCTTGACTGTGCACAGACTCTGAGGTTTGAAGTCTGATTCTTTGGACCCCAGTAGGGTTGGCCTTCCTTCAGTAGGAGCTGTCCCTGTCCATGAAGGTTTGGGCACTGTGGAGTTCAGGCCTCCACTCTCCTGGAAACCACACTTACGCAGGGCTGCTGAGGAGTCCACCTGCCTGGCACCTCAAGCCAGGGGCTTCTCCTGGTGTCTTTTACTCAGTCCCAGATCTAACTCCAAAAAGCCCATCCAAGTCCCTGCTCCCTTGAGCCTTGTGGAGCCCTAGCTCTTGGGGTTAGTGGGTAAGTGGGGTCCCTATGTGGACAGTGGATGTGGAAGAGGGTATACTATCCCCAGTGCCCCATGTGAACATGGGGAAGCCAGTAAGGACCCACCTCATCTGAGCTTCATAGATGTAGAGCCCAGCAGGATCGTTACAGGCCTCAGGGAGCCTTTGGTGCCCCTCTGCTGGGCAGGTATAGGCAAGGCCCCTGGGTGGTCAGCATTGGCAAGGAGGGACTCAGGTCCTACTGGGTAAGAAACTATCCTGTGGAGCCAGAAAACAAGCTGTGAACTCCTGCTTCTGCAAGTATCCAGGGCAGGTCTGCAGCATGGGGTGGGAGGAGGTGCTAGCCGGATTGTACGCCCTGAGTGCTGACCTCTGGGGTGCACAGAGGGACCTGGGCATATTTGTGCTTGGCCAGGACTTCCTAGGACAATGGAGTGGACATGAACAGGGAATGAACATGAATTGGGCCTGGCTAAGGCAGTGAGTGCTGCTGGACAGGTAGGACAGATGGGGAACATATAGGTCCTAGTCTTTCCCAAGTAGTTCATAGGAACCCATACTGTCTCTCTGCTTTGCCCAGCAATAAGTCCTAAGAGGACAGATGGGCAGGACCTATGAGGTTTCCAGGTTGGATATGCACCAGTGGGCCCATACCAGGCACACAGGAGGACCAGTTGGTACGCAGATGACCTTAGCCTGGCCTCTTAGTCACATGGGTGTGGGCTGCCCAGGGATGCACTCTCCTAACTGAGCAGCTAGGATTCCCATCCTCCCACCTGAGGAAACCATGGAGCTTCCCCTAACCATGGAGGTGTAGGTGACCAGGCAGAGGTGCTCCTGCTGCCAGGTGAAGGAGGACAGGGCCGTGAAATCATTCCAGGGGCTTCAGTGCTCAGGCTGGACTGTCTCCTGTGACAGCTCACGGTGACTGGTAGCTTGGTCAGTTGAGTCACCTTGGCTTTAGTACAGAACACTTCTGGGTGTACCAGGTAGCCGTGGGGCATGACCTTGGAGACCTATGTGGCTCCTGGCCCTGGCTCTTCAGAGTTTTCACCCTACTGTCTGCCACGACCACTCCAGTGGAGTCTGCGTGACAATGCCGGTCACCTGGCAGAAACCAGACCCGAGGTATCGTCCCCACAGGGTAAGCCTCCTGGAAGTCCTTGGCACACACTGCATGCGAAGTCAGCCGTGAAGAGAATAGCTGGCCTCTCTGCCTGCTGTTTGGGGATGTTGGGTTCATTTACAATTCTGTTCTATTTTGTCTTTATTACTATTTGTTCATTATCTGTAGAATTGTATTCTGGGCCCAGGAAAGATCAGGAACAATTAGATGTTCCTAGAGATGGGGAGATATTGAGGCACAAGAGGACGGGCGGCCAAAGTGCTGAGCCTGAGCCCCGGACTGTGAAGTCCTGAAGGTGATCCTGAAGGTGACAAGCTGAAGCCAGTCCTTTGTTTTACAAACTTCCCCTTCTGACTGCGTATAGGTGTGGTCTTGCCTTGACTTAGTGGTCTTAGCTTTTGTGATTGTATATAGGTGTGGTCTCACCTTGACCTTGTGGTCTTAGTTTTTACAGTACTATTGTCTATCTTTCTCATGCCTGCCTGTGACTGGAATCACTCTTGAAGTGTGCCCTTGAAACTAGTATATATACATCTAGAGTTAGAAATAAAATTGCAGCAGCTACTACCTTCACTACTCAGTGCTGTGTGGCTTCTGACTGTCACCGCCGAACCTGCTCCCACCTTTCTGAAGATCCCTGTTCTCCTTGTGAAATCCAGTCTTTGCTCCCCTACGGTCGGTAGCAAGTGGCGCCCGAACAGGGACCTGAAAGGTAACCTATTTTTTTCTTTTTTCTCTAGTATTCAAAACAGGAGTTTAAGGTAGGCTCTCACTCAAGGAACTGCAGTCCTGCCAGAAAGTATTCTGGTTAAAGAGTGAGTAATCTTGAAAGCATGGGTCTTTCCGGTTCTAAAGGAAGATGAACTTTCATTTCAGTATTAAGACATATGCTTCTAGAAAGAGGTTTAAAAGTCTCTGAAAATGTTGCTGGGGGATTTTATGATTTTATTCAAAAGGTGGCACCCTGGTATCCTGAAAATGGTAATCTTACTTTAGAAGATTGGAAAAGATTAGGAAGAGAAATGAGAAAATATCTGTCTTTTCATAAAGAGGAGACGCCTCCGCCTCAGACATTCCCGTTATGGGTACAGATAAGAGATATCTTATTGGAAAAATCTGATTTAGAATTTTTAATAGAAGAAGCCCCCTCAGAACAAGATGAGGAAGGAGCCCCCATAAATAAATGTGGCCCACCAAAGTATGGAACTACAGGGGATGATCCTGATGATTGGGATCTAGAAGATGCAGGAAAATATGAGTCAGAGGAATATCACCCTGAGGAATATAATTGTAAGACTTGTGTCTCACCTTTACTCCTGGAGCATGAACAGCCAAGAGGCCTTCACGATGCTGGGCTCAGAAGCTCAGCGAGGCTCCAGGAGCTTGTCACACAGCGAGAGTCACCCAGGAAGGAACACACCAGGCAAGTTGGCAAATAGACCTTTATTAGTCTGGCCAGATGGCACTCCCCAAGCCAAGTAGCTCAGAGAGGCGGCTAGCTCAGAAACAGAGGGCACTTTATATAGGGCTGAGGGGGGTTTTACATATAAAACTTATGGGAAGAGGCAAAGGTGAAGAAGCAGTCGTTCTGACCTATTGGTTATCAGGCACATATTTGACTGTCAGGTACTAATGATTAGCAGATTGCTCCTCCACTGTTCTGTTTACAACTTAGATTATAATGTTTAGAACATTCAGACTACAGGCATGCAAGGAGTGGCGCAATCCATGTTGGGTCTCTGTGTATCAGTCTCCACCATACACAGTTATCTAACAATTCACAATTAATCACTAGTTATCTTATAAGGGATGCGGGGAGCGACAGTCTAGGTCGTTTGCTGGTCAATATGGAGTCGCTCTGGTTCAGCCAGGCTCCCACAATAATAATCCCCCTCCTCAGGTAATGATTTCTGCTCCTATAAAAAAACATGGAAAGCCGGTTCCAAAGCCAAGAAGGTATTTACCTCCAATAGGATTTCAAGGTGCCATAGTGTGGGAGCCTGACTGAACCAGAGCAACTCCATGTTGACCAGCAAACGACCTAGAGACTGTCGCTCCCCCCCCCATCCCTTACAGGATAACTAATGATTGATTGTGAATTGTTGGGTGGCTGCTTTGAAGTAGCTGGGAGGCTAGATGGAAACTGTAGTGAACACAGAGACCCAACATAAATCACACCACTCCTTGCTTGCCTGTAGTGGAATGTTCTGAACTTTGTAATCTAAGTTGAAAATGGAAAAATGGATAATCAATCTGCTGATCATTAGTACGTGACGGTCAAGTATATGCCTGATGACCACTAGCTCAGATTAACTGATTCTTTGCCTTTGTCCTCTCTCTGTAAGTTTTAAGTATAAACCCCCCCCCTTCAGCCCTATATAAAATGGCCTCTGTTTCTGAGCTAGCCGCCCTTCCTGAGCTACTTGGCTTAGGAGGTGCCATCTGGCCAGACTAATAAAGGTCTATTAGCCAACTTGCCTGGTGTGTTCCTTCCTGGGTGACTCTCGCTATCAGACAAGCTCCTGGAGCCTCACTGAGCTTCTGAGCCCAGCATCATGAAGGCCTCTTGGCTGTTCACGCTCCAGGAGTAAAAGTGAGACACAAGTCTTACAATAGCACAGGCTAAGGCAGAAGGGGATATGTCATTTACTTTCCCTGTTGTTCTATATGATGATGAGGAACCAAGTTGGGAAACTTTGCCTTTAAAAACATTAAAAGAATTACAATTGGCAGTAAAAAGTCTGGGACCATCCGCTCCTTATACTATTCAAATCTTAGAAATGATAGGTACTCAATGGCTAACAGTGTATGATTGGTTTCAAACTGCTAAGGCAACTATGTCCCCAGGAGATTTTGTTCTCTGGAGAACAGAGTATGAAGAGAGAGCTAAAGAAGCAGTTCATAATAGTTCCGCGAAAAAGGGAGCTAAGCCTACAATGTCCATGCTGCTAGGAAAAGAGGAGTACGCTCAACCGGCAGCTCAGATGCGTGTAGGCAGACCTATTCTAGAATTAATAACTCAGTTAGCAGTAGGGAGCTGGAAGGCAGTCAGCAAAGCTGTCTTATCAGGAGGAGATTACCTCCTATGGTTGACTAATTATACCGAACAATGCAAAGTG